TGTCTTCGTTTTGGCCATACTAAACAGGTTTGCCGCAGTGCAACACGATGTCCTCGCTGTGGTCAAAATTCTCATCCAGATATAACTGAATGCCCAAATGCTACAAATCCGCCTTCGTGTGCGAATTGTGGAGGGTCGCATCTTCCTACAGACTTATCATGTCTTAAAAGAACCAATCAAAAAACAATCCTTTCATTAGCTTCAGATAGAAACATTTCTATTAAGGAGGTATCCACTCTGATTAAGCGTGGCTCGTTTGACTTTTCAGAATTTCTAGAGCTGGGAGCTTTTGACGAGGTCATTCCATCTATCCTAATTAGTAATTTATGTTCTATAGGTATACCTGAATCCATTTGCCGTATTATCTATAATATAATCTCAGAAAGGAACATCTTTTTCAAGGTCAATGGTGGCCTAATTGGCCCCAGGTCCACTCACAAGGGCTTGCTACAAGGCCTTACCCTTAGTCCCATTCTCTTTTCTATATGTATCAGGGAACTCAACAACCACCTTCATCCAAATTGTATTTCCACGCAATTCGCTGATGATGCCCTTATCCTCTCTAGGTCCAAGAACCTAGTAGACTGTCTCAATGTAGTTCAATCCAGCGTTACTTCTGTTTGCCAATACTTGTAAAGTATAGAGCTATCTATCTCTCCATCTAAAACAAAACTAGTTATCTTCTCCAAAAGAAGACGTGATTTCGATGATTGTTACATTACGTTAGGCTCTGACCGGATACATGCTTCCAATGAGGCCTTGTATTTAGGTCTGATCTTCGACAGGAAATTGACGTGGAACTCTCACCTTAAAAAAACCATTAATAGATGCAATAGAGCACTGAACATCTTCAAGGCCCTTAGATCCACATGGTCGGGTGCACACCCCTCAACCCTTCTCCTCTTATACAAATCATTGATCAGAAGCGTCCTAGAGTATGGTTGTCAAGCCCTTCTACTCCTTGACAGTAATCTACTCATGAAACTTAATCGAGTTCAGTACAGTGCTCTCCGTCTTAGCCTGGGGCTTAGAATGTCCACTCCAATCCTTTACTCATCCGGATCAATCTCTTAGCAAAGAAATACGCCCTAAAATGTTTCTCACACTCTGATCATCCTGTGATTCGTCGTCTCTCGAACCTTTTGTGCCTCCCCTACAATGGCAAAATATATCAGATTAAGCATCATTTCATCCTACATAAGGCCTTTGTTTCTGTTCGTAATTACGGTAAAATTATTTATAACTCCCCTCATCCTCATCCTTACCATTTTGATTATGAACTTCAGCATTTTACTCCAAGTATCAGTTTATTGGAAGGTGTCTCCATCCAAAGCTCAGGGAATCCGACTAATGAGTTTGACAAATGCTTCAGTCAAATCCTGTCTTCGTCACACTGCTTCTATACTGATCGATGTCCATGTTTTATGGCATTGTCGCCGTTTTTCTCATCTCAGAATTAAACTACTCCTTTCTATTCGTAAAGCTAAGCTCCCTGTTACATACTCTATCACTTCTTACCTAAACTGCATGCATCCTAAACTACTTGAATCAATAGACAACTTTCTCACTAATGCTAACATATCTATATAGATTTCTAGACTCCGTAGACTCTATTTATACAATTTCGTCGACTACTAACTCCGTAATTTAATACACTTCCTTTGCTAGTTCTACACTTACTGTCCATTCCAGTAACATTCTTCTACCTGCACCTTTATCTATCTCCTTATTTGCTCCTTGCATGAATTGCCTCCTGATTAGGGGATTTGTAAGCCCTCGGGCTCTGGCTGGTTGGACCGCCTCGGTGATTGGTCACCGGGGTGCTCCTCTCTCTGTTTCAGATCGCCGTGGGATACTCACGCTAGATGCCCCATAGAAACGCTCCATATTGTATTAAGCTTGTGGCCGCTTGTAATGGACTAAAGTCCTAACCAGAGCCATATATATAAACATGGAGACTAGAGTAGAGAAGTCCGATCTCTGTACATAAGGTACAGAGGTGAGTGGGGAGATGCACAATGGTCCGGTTTTAGGCGATACCAAAAGCATGGCGCTGAATCGTAGCGGCGAGTCCGGGAGTAGGATTTCGTGATCATCGCCTCTGTCGATGTTACAGATTTCGCGTAGTCGCGCGGGTCATGATCATCGTTCCATCCGATATTGCAGTCAGCGAAAATGAATGGATTGCTCGTTGGTGAGAAAAAAGTTGCCGCCCCTCACAAACCGTTCTTGACAAATAGGCGGGGCAGCAAGGTCTTCCATCCAACCGAACCCTAAACATTTATATGGACGTAATGCGCAAACAAATGTGTATATTCAAATAAATTTCAAAGTTATAAAAAATGCATAGAAATATTGGTTTTCACTCTTTACCTCTTATCATGCCGAAAATGAACATTAAAAAATGAATGGCGAAATTCGTTGGTAAATAAAACGACCGAGAACAGTTCAAAGAGAAATTCTGAAATATCATAGCTAAATATCTATAGAAAATTTAATTTAGAATTAAACGAGCATCGTGGCTGAGTCAATAACCTGTCAAGATATACCGCTGCTGGTTACGGGTTCGATCCCCCATGAAGAACTCTTTTTTCATCTTCTTTTTTTTCATTTTACTACAAAAATTGTTCAAGGTTCCTCTCTTTTAACATTTCTATGTTGCCCAAACTTTATTTTAAGTTTATAAATGTTTTTTAATTTTATCTATGACAGAATCGACTAATATTTTAAACGCCCGCTCGTGCCGCGCGACCGGCGACTTGAGCGATTGCGGGTCCTCTCTCGCTGAGGGGTCTGGTATTACTGTTCCTGCTGCCGTTGGTTCTTATAATCTTATAAATACTTTTTATTTGCAAACTTCAGTTCCAGCGCCCAGTGTAAACTCAATAAGATTTACTATGAGAAAATAGCTGACTTCATTACCTGGAATCAATAATCTTGAGAAGCAAATATGGAAATGAGCATTATCTCTGTCAGTAATTGTTCGTCCACGTGGAGAAAGGTGGCGCGAAAGTTCTTAACTGGTGTGCATATTTATATTATTCTGCTTATATGTAAAGTAAGCGAAACGACACTAGTAAGCAGTTGAATAAACGATGAAATTCTGGAAATACAACTTCCGAAAAAAGTAAAACAATCAGATATTTCTGGCGTCTGGCTAGTGCACCCGGTTACGAATCGGGAGGTCTATGGTTCGAGACCTCTCTATGGAGAGCAGTTTCTTTTTACAAAAAAAAATGTGCTTTTGCAAATGGGATTAAAAGATTAAAGAGTATATCCAATTAATTTATTTATCTTATTACAATAAAGGCAT